GTATTATTATTATTATTATTATTATTATTATTATTATTATTAACAAATGGTAAACACCACAGCATACACTATTGAGTTATGGATGCACACGGGAGGTTGCTAAGCACGAAAGAAGCAGAAGAGTCACTCGAGGCGATAGCTGAGAGCGACTCTAGCTTCTTGAGTGCTTAGCAAACCTCCCCAAGTGCATCCATAACTCAATAGTGTACACTGTGGTGTTAACCATTTGTTTTATAACATAACATTAATACATTATAGCTAAGGAGTTCCCTTTTTTTTAACAAATCTTACGTGACCAGAAAAAAGAAGCGCGCGCAAAAAAATAGTCTGCATTTGCTCACGTCAGCAGCGTACACCCATGGGCAAATGGGGGACGCTAAATTGACAAATCAGAGCATGCGCTTTACTTTGGTTTTGTTATAATTATTATTATTATTATTATTGTCTGCGTAATAACATATTGATATTGTGAGGAGACCTTCTGTCTTGGTCACTTCTGGGAGATAAACGGTTAACAATTAAGTGTGCATTGATGATCAGATGTGATCTGAAAATGGAACATGCCTCATTCATACTGTGCATGTGCCAGTAGCCTTTTGGCCTGTATGTCTTTTTTTTCTAACCATTTTCACTTCAACACCGCAGTAGGGTAGGACTAGAATGGAACATATGCAAACCATGCGAGTAGTCCACCCATTGAATCGCACCCATCCCACCCCAGGGGAGGACATCCACCACACAGCAATCTCGTGCATGGAAAATTAACGTCTCCTACGCCTAACCCTGTAGGAGATGGGACCTCCATTTATTCATCCCTATCTGAGAAGACTAGAATATCTAACCATTTCTTGATGTTATAGAAAGGTAGCATATTCTTCTCAATTATTTCAAGACCTTGAGTGTTGGTCCGGTCGTGGCTTGAACCCTTGACCTCCCGCATAACAGTCCAGCGCCCTATCCATCAACTTGGGATTTACCATACATTAGTTGGCAAGTAGATAGTTTTAGGTTTTATTTTTACTGTAGTCTGAACTTTTTTTGTACATTTGTCAGATCTATGGTGCTGCAGTTGCAGATAACCTGGATAAGAACAGAGGAGTGCTAAATAGAAGATATTTCCGACAGGTAAGGGTGTGTGAATTTAGTTCCTTGAAAAACCAGATTGTGGCTTGGTGTTTCCAGAGAAGTTGATCCAGATAACCTGGATAAGAACAGAGGAGTGCTAAATAGAAGATATTTCCAACAGGTAAGGGTGTGTGATTTTAGTTCCTTGAAAAACCAGATTGTGGCTTGGTGTTTCCTGAGAAGTTGATCATTGTACGCTCCGGTTTTGCAGTCTAGCTTAAGGTTATGGTTATGGTTTTAAGCTGGGTTGGTCATTGTGTTGTGCCATGAGGCAAGACACTTTTCCCTCACTGTTCCTCTTTCCACAGTAATGGGCAAAACTGGATTTATAAGCTTCTGGGAGCCAACCACAAAGCACTATGTTTCAGCTATATTTCTAGATGTATTATGAAACTAAACTGTGTTATGAAACTCTTGTCATCAAGGAAAATCTTCCAATTTAGAGTTAACTTTGTGATTGAACATAAAATTATGAGAAATGTTGGTGCATCATGTAGTTCTGGGGAATGACTAGATAATGAAACATTTAACTTTTCTGACTCTGGTTATATGCCTTTTCCAACTTTAATTGCTTTTCAAATTTGCTTTCTTTTGTAGCACTGTACATTAGATTGTGGTAGTTATACCAAAGATTTATCAATGGTCAATGAAGACCTCTCCTCAGTTTTTATTTTGGACAACTCACCTGGTGCTTATCGATACAACCCAGGTATTTATTGTTACTTCAGTTATGTACTGTATGGCTCATGGTT